GGAGGCAGGGGAGGCAGGGGAGGCAGGGGAGTCAGGGGAGGCAGAGCCTCACCACTGTCATCATGAAAAGAAAAAAAATGTAAAAGGAAAAAGGCAAAAGCTGAGGTCAGGCTGAGCTAGTTGCTGCCAGAGTCAATGTGGATGACTCTGCTTAGTGCTTAACTGTTTAAAAAAGCCTCTAAAAAGTGCCCTCTACACAGGAGGAGGCGGGAGAACGACGTGCCTCATCTAGTCTGGCGTTTTATGATCACTCGAGCAGAGTTAAGCAAGGGTTAAAAGCCAAAAAATTCCTGACGTCGTTCTCCCGCCTCCTCCTGTGTAGAGGGCACTTTTTAGAGGCTTTTTTAAACAGTTAAGCACTAAGCAGAGTCATCCACATTGACTCTGGCAGCAACTAGCTCAGCCTGACCTCAGCTCTTGCCTTTTTCCTTTTACATTTTTTTTCTTTTCATGATGACAGTGGCGACGCTCTGCCTCCCCTGCCTCCCCTGACTGCACGCCCCTGCTTTCCAAGACAGATAAGGTCTGTAGTCATAAATATTCCTCTGAAAGACTGTTTGCCAAGCCTTTGCTGAATGTGAATGAGAGGAATTCACATTCGTTTAATAAAAGGGTTTTTGTCGGGACCAGGACTCTGCCTCGTGCTTTTTGGGGAAGCCTAGGTCAGAACACACAGATCTGTACAATGGTTTAATAGTGATGATATGCATGTCTAACATGGATCATAAGAATAAATGGGAAGGGAAAAGAAAACCATGACTGTCCAACCATTTTGATTCTCAAGGCTGGACTTGCATGCTTGCATAACTTGCCACTGCTTAGGGGAACAGTTCATACCCCTTCCTCCCTCCCTCCCAGCTCCCCTACTCCAAATAGTTGCTGCTTTATTGCCATCTGTTTCTAAGAGCTCAACTGCAGGCTCATTGACTGCAATAGGAGGGATTGCGAGTGGGCCTTGCAAAGATTCAAAGAACAGCAGACAAGGGCCAATTAGGGTTCGCAGGCTTCAAACTGTCCACCTGTGAGGTCCTTAGAGAAAAGAGAAAGTATGATATAATAACATAAAATGCATGCGAAACACGATTCTCTACAGAAGACTGAGCAGTAGCTTGCTCTGTAGGGAAAGCTACCTTTAAATCATACATTATTTAAAAAATGGTGCTTTGTTGTTGAACACAGATGCTCATAGTCCAGTTTTTTTATGAAGTTCTTAAGATCCATAAAGGGATTTTGTCTCCTCCAGCAGTAATTTCCCATCAGAACTGTTGTTCAAGTAGGTTGCGGGGAGGGAAATATCTGAAGTCATTCATTCCTGCGGTTATTCCCCTTGAGGGACCCCACAGATTTCTCATGCACATCGCATTGAAGAAGAATGAATTGTTGTTATACCAACAGTTTTTTTATTGTCATCAGCCCCGTATTAGATATCATTGGAAACACTTCAAATATAAAGGAAAGGCACTGGGAGAATTCCAGTTCTCTTATTTACTGTAGCTCAGTCAAAAAAATCACTCAACCTAAGAATTGTTTGGAGGCGCTTGAATATCTTTGTTGCTCCATCAGCCTTCCAAAGATGCCTTGCTGACCTATACTTGGGTGTAGTCCCCCTCTATAAAAACCAAGCATGTCTTCTGAGAAGTATCTTAATTTTTTTCATGGCCAAAATAAACTCAGATTCCTAAAAAATTGATTACGAATCCAATGGCACATAGGCCATTAACTGATATCCTATGCTCTTTCCTGACTTGTGTTTCATAAAATTATTGTGTTGGAACTATCCAGAGAGGTCATATAGTCCAACCCCTGCACAATGCAGGATTCAATACACCAGGGATATTAAATTCAAGGCCCGTGGGCCACATCTGGCCTGCAGGGTGCTTAGAACTGGCCCGCGAGGCTGCCTGGAAACAGTGAAGGAACAGCCTACAGTGCCTCTGCCAGTGAAAACAGAGCTCGGGAGAGCCATACACAGCCCTCCCTGAGCTCTCTTTTCTTTGGCAGAGGGCTGCAGGAGGCCATCGCGGCTGAAAACAAAGCTTGCGAGGACTGCACGCAGCCCTCCTTAGCTCCATTTTCCCTGGCAGAGGGTTGCAGGAGATTGTCGCAGCTGAAAACAGAGCTTGGGAGCCTGTTTTCACTGGCAGAGTGCTCGGGCCACCACAGGTGCCTCCGAAACCTCACACCCACCCTGGCCATGCCCACCCCAGCCCCCCAAGGTCAAACACAACCCTGATGCGGCTTTCAATGAAATCGAGTTTGACACCCCTGCACTA